GTCCCTGCCTGGACGCCCTAAGCCGGAAGAAGGCCCTGATCCTTAAGACTTAACACTTGAGCCGGTCAACCGAATTTCATGAACCCCGGGCACTCGAATTCGCACAAAAACTTCCTTGGGACCGTGGAAACCCAAGCAAACCCCAAGTCTGACCCCAAATACTCCAATGACCTCGAAGTCCACCTATGCTTCCGACTCCTGAAATGCCTAGCAGGAGGCTGGAGACATGAGGCTGCAACAAGCTACAACTGCCTCACCTTAAGGTCCGTAGGTGCCACTCTGATGGGAGGTCAAAAGGGGGGTTTAAGATTCTTGGGGTAGGGATTCCTTAATATGAACCCTATTATGGGAACCCTACTCCCTACTAAACCCTCCAAAAAAGGCTAAAACCCCTTTTGGCCTCGTAGGTGCCACTCTGCCGAGGAGCATCTGCTGCGTGAGCTCTGGCACGGTCAGGGCGCGGTACTGCTGGGAACCGCGGGACGTCAAGGGGGCGAAGCCGGTCATGAAGAAGTGCAAGCGGGGGAAGGGCACCAGGTTCACAGCGATCCTAAGCTCGTTGGGGGGGGAAGACGGCCTTTATAGGGCCAATGGGGGGGTTTCTTCAGACGCCCTTTCCGATTCCGTCGTTGCTGAGTTCCTGGCGGCAAGAAGGTTCACCGCTTAAGCTTGAGCGGAGTAGACCCCAACACGGATGGTTCTTTGCTTGCCAAAACTGCTCGTGCTTTGCTACAGGTATGAGTGTCTGCCCTCACATGGGAGTTCTAGAAATATGGGATCCCAACACGCCCCTGGATAGTAGATCCTGGATATACAGACACCTATACAAGGTTCCCCGTTCACCTTTCAGAAACTTCCCCATCCTGTCAACACCTAGGGAAGCTGGACAACCGTAGCATGTACCCCCAAAGTACCGCTAATGCTAAGAAACTCGTATCAAACCATCTAAACCATCCATTAAACCTCTTCTAAAACCGAAGCCGCCCTCTACAACACTCCAGAAACCGCCATTATGCACACCCCCCCATGTTCGAGAAGGCAATCTCTAAATGCTAAACTGGTTCTATTGCAGAGCCGAGAAGCTTGCGCAAGTCGCAGTTCAGCTGGCCTCCGAACGGCAAGTTCTAGGTGCGGAGTTCTAGATTCTAGAGGGCTTGGTTAGGCCTGGTGGGGGTTTTCAAGCGGTTTCAGGTTCCGTTTCTCTTAATCTCACGTTCTTGAACACCCCTGTTCCGTCAAGAGGGATTGAGGGTTTGAGGTTTGGGTTTTGCTTTGGGACCTTAGAGACCGGGGTGTAATGTAGGGGCCTTCATAACTACCAATACTATTTTGAGGGGTTCCTTATCATACTTATAGTATAACGGCCGCAAAACCCTATTCTAATCATTGAGGCCCCTATACTAAATTCTTACTATAGCCCTTGTAGTAGCCCCTATAGACCCCTTTAGCAGGACCCGTTTCAAGCTATTGAGGCCCCTGAATTAAGGGCCAACCACCTCAATCCCGGCAGGCCGTTGCAATGCAAGGTGGCTTAAGGTTTTAGGGTTTTAGTTGTTTAGGGGTCTAGGGTTCTAGGGTTTTAATTGTTTAGGCGTTTCGGGTTTGGGGGTTTAGAGCTTCAGGTTGAGGGCTTTAAGGTAGGCAGTGCAAGAAGGTTTAGGGTTTGAGGTTGAGTGCGTTTAGGCGTAGGGTTAGAGTTAGGGATCAGGGCTTCAAGGTTGAAGGTTAAAGTTCGGGTTTAAGTTTAAGGGTTTAAGGGCCTTAGGTTGAGGACTTGAAGGTTTAGGATTAGACTTAGGGCTTAGAGATAAGAACAACAGCAGGTGTTTGCACACTTGTCGGCCGAGAAGAGACATGATGCCCATGCCGTACTGCATTCGTATTTTCCTCAACAGGAAAACGAACGGCATTAAATCATGCGTATCCCTTCAACGCTACATGCTGCCCGCTCTTCGGAGTTTAATAGATTTACAAAATAACTGAGCAACTATGAGGTGCTAAGATGCAAGAAAAGCCCATGAGCCGGAACGCCCGAAGCCACAGAACTCATCACCTGAAGAACACGTCGCAGTTGAAGCTAAAGTTATCCCAAATGCCGATTAATATTGCTTCTCTCGGCTGCACCCTCGTACTTCCACTCTTGAACACTGCGTCCGTGCAGGCCTGGGAAGCGCAGGCAGCAGGTCACGCCACTCATGGCCGCGGAGACCAAGTGGTTCAAGTCGCCTTATCGCAGGTCTTGACGGAATCCCTACAGTAATCCCTCCCAGCGCTATTTGGCCTGAATCCGGTTTCCAACTTTATGGGTTTCACTATAGATGTCGCAGTTACTGTAAAGATGCCAGGAATAGTTAGAAGAATGCAAATCAGAGTACAATGGACAATGGCAGGCACGAGCAAGAAATCCCTCCTACTTTGTAACTTTTGCGTTTCGTTATCGTTTCCGTTGCCGCTGCTGCTACTACTACTACTACTACTGCTACTACTGCTACTACTACTACTACTACTACTACTACTACTACTACTACTACTACTACTACTGCTACGACTGCTAGTGCTACTGCCTCCTGCCAGTCCCTCTTCTATCAGTTTAGCTACTGCAGAAGTTGAAGGCTTGAACAAGTTCGGGTTCAGGGCTGCGGGGCCTTCATGGGCTCAGGAGTCTCTTTCTACATTGTGCCTGCTTCAAGACTCAAGACCATCAACTGTAAAATGGAAACACCACGACCTTAAACGTTCCAGTCAGGGACTATACGGGGGCTGCCTAGCTAGACCTGCGCATCAAGACATCCAATGCTCATGCACCCAAGCTGCCCCGCAAGACCAAACCTCCCAATGCAGCTTTCAAGAGTTAACCAAGAACACGCAGCAACATCCCATCAAATCAAACACCATCTCAAAGCCACACGCCCCAAACAAATTCATTCTTCTCGCCTTTGCAACTCGGCCACACTCTGAATCGAGCTTCGACTCTAGACCCTGCACCCAATTACTAAACCCTCGGTCACAAAACTCATGAATCTCAGATAAAACCAGAAACCCAACAGAAATGAGTAACACAGTGCTTCGAAGTGGCCGTATGTGGGGGTAGTCAACTTCAGGGTTCCTCGGCTTGACTTCTTGGGGGCCGCTTGTTGGGGTTGAATGATAGGCTTAAGGGTTCCCAGAGACTCGAATATCTCCTGATTAAGGAATATTCCTTAATTCATAGTAGGATCCCTAATATGACTTATATTCCGTAATGAAGGGATATTGGAGTCTCTGGGTTTAGGGGTTTGTGTAGAGCAGCACTATCCATAGCAATACAGAAGTTGGCAAAGAGGAAAAGCAGTAAGGAACATTGCCTTCTCCACAATCAATGCCATGATCATCAGCATGTGTTGTCTTCTTGCTGAGTGTTGAAAATTCCGTCCTTCATCACGAATGCCAAAGTCATGATCTGCTTCGTCGTCACCATCTCTACGGCAATCATCCGCCATAGCAGAAACAACAAGTACGCTGGTGTCGGGAACTAAATGATCATGATATGTCCTGATGATACCAGTTGCTCAGCAACTCGACACGTATTGTATTCATGTTCCGAGTCATCAATTGTCTGCTACAACATTCCGTGCTGAGTCACAGAAAACAAGATTTCCCATCTTACGCTCTCAGCAGTGTAGCAAGGTCTCTTCGTCCAACGAATGGGTGTAATGCAGTGATACAGGGGCCTTAACAATTAAACCAGGATTTTGGGGGCGTACTTGAGTATGATTACTTTGAGGGCCCTAAAAAATGCTGTCTTGCTTGCTGGCGGACAAGTCGTGCCTATGAAGGCGCGTCCCCAAAAACTGCCATCGGCAATTCTTCACGCCTCCATTCAGGAACCTGTGGTTTCTCGGGGCTCTGAGCTTCACTCCGTTTTGGGGATTCAGAGCCAGGGGCTTCTGAATTGGGCTCGTTCCTTAGTTGCTGAGTTCATATGCCCCCCAAAAAATGTACACTTCTAGCTTTATAGTGGGTAATATCATCCTAAAAGGTGTAAAGTGAATCCACTCAGCTACAAAGATTCCATAAGAGGTTCAACCAGCCGGCTATGCTAATGCCTGTGGTGACTGAGCCGTCAAACAGGCACTGTTTTCCTTGACAGGGGGTGGGTCTCCAGAACCTAGACTGGTCTTCCGGGTTGCCTCGCTGCATGCTGCAATTGCGGCCAGGGTTCGGAAGCAAATATCGTACAATGCTTCGTTGTCCAACAGGAAGGACTCATCAGAGTTTTCCTAGGCCAGGATGGGAGGCCTACTGAAACATAACACCCCTGACATCAAAAACAAGGTCGTAAGAAAAGCCACTTATGACACGACTTTCACTTTCCCAGTTGCTGACTTCCCTGGCCCCCAAAATGGGAGTCTTCAAAGTACTGTAGGATCATGTAGGCACAAAAAGGTTAAAAGTTGTTTAAACAGCCACTAAGGATTAAGCCCAGTTCTCCACCAGCTGATGGAAGCTCAAAACTGCATTGTACGGCTCGACCACGGTGTCGGACACCTTGGGTGATGGAATCACCGAGAAGGTCTCCATGATGCGATCCGGGTACCTGAGTTTCGGTTTGGCGGTGATGTTGGGTTTGGGTTTGCAGTTAAGGTTGGGGGACCTGAGGTTCGCAATCTTCGACAGGAGGTTGGGATAAGCGAAAGGACGAAATCACTCAACGTTTCAATCTATGTCCTCATCCAGGCCTTAATTGCTAGAACAGGGGCTTCGATAAAAATGACTTTGTAAATACATAGAAACTATCAAGGGACATTGCTGTTGTTATGATGTTGTTATTCGTCTTTCAGGCCCCTCCGGCGCTGACCCCTCCGGAGCTCATTTGCAAACCCATCCGGAAATTGCAGGGATGCTACGCGTCATATACAGGACGCAAATGAACGACTGTATAGCCGTCTTGTCAAGAGACTTAGTAAGTAGCGTTAGGTATAGGTGAATCTATACTTACAACTACTCCGTAACCCCAAACTTCAAAGCGTGGCGACTGCCCAAAAATTACTGCAACTAAGCCGCTCTTCACGAACCTTGGAGATCAGCAGCGTTCCCATGCCTGCACCAGTGCCACCTCCGAGAGAGTGGCACAGCTGAAAGCCTTGAAGGCAGTCGCATCCCTCCGCTTCCTCGACAAAGAAACTTGATGGTCTCAGGGGGTCGGATTTTGGGCTCAGGGTCTAATGCACAGGGGCCTTGATAATTAGAATAAGGCTTTGGGGCCCAGCCCCTACAGGTTCAGGGTCTCGGATTTACGGGTGGTGGTCGAGGGTGACTCACACGCGGCAGTTGCGGATGCAGCCTTGAGATTGGCACGCTGCGGCTGCTTACTGCCCCAAGGCTTTTGTAAGTTAGGCTGTCGCCTTCCGCGCCAATGTCAGGGCTTTTAGGATCAAGGTTGTGGTCTTGTTTTGCTGTCCTTACGATGCAGATCCTGAGACTTTTCTCGAAAAGCCTTTGAGGATGTCACCCTTTTTGGGCAAGCTCTCCTTGCGGACGACGTCAAGCACCGAGTCAATCAACTCGGCCCCCTCCGTGTAGTGTCCCTGATTGGCTCATGCATGCTTAGTCTGCCGAACGTAAAACAAAGTCACGAAGGTAACGTAGGGGCCTTAAACAGGGTTCGAAGGGAAATCCTGTACTACAACTCAAGGAAGGAACCTCTTAGGAATAAACATAGGCAATTTTGGAAGCTTCTAGGTCATGCATCTGCCTTAGCCCAGTTGTTTCCGGCGCCGGTCTGCCCAAACACAAAGTTGTCCGGGCGGAACAGCTGACCGAATGGCCCAGCTCGAACGCTGTCCATGGTTCCTGCCAGCAGGGCTTTTGGGCTTTTGAGGACCCTCAACTCTCTTTGTGTGGGTTGCCATTACTACTTCTTTGCCAAGGCTACAGAAAGCTGTTGAAATCCACAGAGGGTTTAAACAGTTTGTGTAGACAAGCATTCGGGTGAAGAGAGGCGCGAGCAATTTGCGCAGGTGTGCACAGGCATTGCTGCAGCGATGATTCCACAGAGATGCATCAGCGGATGCGACGAGTCGTCACAGTATGGGTATGGGTCGTAGCATGTTTATTGAGAGGCATGTCATCTCCCTGGCACTCGTAATACTTTTCGGAACCGAACGATGAACAAGCACTGTGGCAACAAGGTCAGAACAAAGAAATGGACGAACCGGATATTGCGCAAAGATTCACGTACAACGAGAACCGCGGCTTTGAAGGGTGCTGAGCAAACTGACACTGCCAACCTTTTCGAAATAAGACATTCACTCTGACTTCGCATTGTTCAGGCGGTTTCATCGTAACACACCAATGTAAAAAATGCTCACAAAGTGATAGCAGAATAGAAACATCACAGATTTCGCAAGGAGAGTCCAGCTTCGAGTAATGTCAGGGCCTGGGTGATTTGACTTGATCCTGGGTTGTATGCTTACTACAATACAGCAAGACACCCGAAGGCATAGCATCGGCAATTATTCAGGCTTCCCTGTTCGTTACAATTCGTCCTGCACTGTCGACTCTCAGAGTGCTCCTGAACCCCCGGAGGTCTAAGACCTTCAGCATCCCACAACTCCAAGTCCCAGCGCAAAGCTTCTGGACTGGGGCCTTTGTGGTAGACTATAAGCTTACATGTAAATCTATACGGACTCTACGGGGGCATTCTTATGATTGCTTCTCATAGATCGCAAAAGCTCTGCTACTTTATCGGACCTCTGACAAAAAAAACCCTGAATCCCGGAGACGCCCGAGGTCTGAACTTAAACCTTAAGACTCTGAAGGTCAAAAAACCTGCCTTGTTTAAAACCCTTGATGTGAGGACGCGTGTTCAACTCCTTCTAGTGCTAAGGGAGGGGAGTGTCTTCATCGGGGGTGCACATTAATCCAAACTCGGTCCACATTACCCGAAACTCTGATTCGCATTTCAGCTCCGGTCCCGGTTCCAGATCCATGAGCACCGCGCGGGGCACGTAGCGCCCACCCGTGGCCTGCTGAAGAGGGTTCTGTAGTCCATAGGGGGGGGGGTCCATGGCGTTCCAGCAGGGTTTAGGTGAACGGGAATTTAGTAACAGGTCTACAAAGCCTCAGCTAGCGTTCCATAAGGTACATGTGCACCAAATGTCAAAATTCACGAGCAAGCAGGTGAAGAGGTGCACGGCTGGTGACTCGTGTGTGTGTGTATGTATATGTATATGTATATGTATATGTATATGTATGTATATATATATATATGGATGAACGAATAATACATTGCCCTATTCTTATATGTAGGCAAGATGGAATGGAGCCGAAAGGTGTCACCAAACGGGAGCATGTCGCCTTACCACTCCAATCGTCAACATACCAGCACCACTTTCCTTCCCTGGTAGCATACATACATACATGCATGAATACATACATACATACATATCGTCATACGCATGTTCATGTCTACATTGAGTCTACATGCAGTCGCATTCGTAGATTCGCGAACGGCCCATTGGGCCCCATGGGGGACTCGAGGCAGACTCGGACCGGACGCCTCGTTGAAGTACACGTTGATGCCTTGCGGTTTAAGGTCTACGGGTTCTTAGGGTGCCAGGTTTTGATCGTTTGGGCCTACAGTAGAAGCCAGAAAGTTGGAATATCATTATCGTAACCCCTTTAAGGTAAATTATAGGGGGGATCCTACCATTAATCCATATTCCAACTTTCTGGAGTTCCCTTTACAGGGCTTGAGGGTCTTAGGGTTCAGGGCTTCGCGTTTTGAGGATTCTTGTGTGTTGGGCTGTGGGGAGTTTTCAGGCCTGAGGCTGCAGGGCTATGGGATCGGCTCGTGAAGTCTTTTTTTTTTTTTTTTTTTGGGGGGGGGGGGGGGGGGTGCAAATTCGAAGTTTAGAGTTTGGCCAAGTTGTTGGGGGGACTGAAAGGGATTGCGAATGGGTATCTCGGCTGAAAACTAATGTGGTTGATTCCACATCAAAGCCTTCCGCAGCTCCACTTAAGGATCTGTGTCCCCTAACGAGAGGTATCTGCGATCATCAGAATGAGGAGCAATCTCGCAATTAGAGGTGATGTCCGCGATAAAGCGTCGAAGCATCAACACCAGATTGAAGTACTTTGGACGGGCTGCGCTCCAGCTGCAGATCGGAGTCTCCATGGTAGGTTCCGGTAGGATCGATGCCATGCTCGTCCGCGATGACCTCCCAGAACTTGGCTCCGATCTGGTTTCCGCACCTCGGTAGCCGAAAGATCATCGAAGCTACAGCAATAACAGCAGTAGCAGTGGTAGTGGTAGTGGTAGTGGTAGTAGTAGTAGCAGCAGCAGTAGTAGCAGTAGTAGCAGCAACGTTTTTCCTCCTCTGAGGCCAGAGTTCAGATCTTCGGACTCTACGCGAGCGGCCTTCATTATTCATGACCCCTATAGCCGTCATGAAGAGTTTCTCCCTAGGACCTCTAGAGGATCTTTGTGTGCGGGCTCAAAGTGCGTGTGCAGGATCCCTGATCCCTTCCGCCCCAACCATCCCAATGCGAGCTCATGGAGGGCTCCGGGCTTGGCTTTAGGGCCTTCGCGGTTTCGGCTTAAGGTTTAGAGTTTGAATTGGGAACAACCACACAAGCACAGCCTCATATGCAATGCCATCAAGCCTGGGTTGTCCTATTGCAGCTATTCTTCCGAAGCTTTTGCCAGTCTGCTAGATATGCGAACACGGACACCTGGCAGTCATTCAATCTGCTCCCTTCCCGACTAACATCCTGCCTTCCCAGCTTCCAGCCGTCGAAGCTACAATCCACACGTATGCACAACACAATTCAACTTGAGCACCGAACTTGCGCACCGTTCAACCACTGAACTAACGAAACACAGGATAAGCTTCTCGAGGGTCTCGTGCAAGTGAATCTCACACAACGCCAAGGCAAACCCAAACTCATGACCTATCATAGCAGTCCATGAACGATAGAGTAACCTTACATATACATATATATATATATATATATATATAACATACACGTATATTAACCCTTTTAGATCCCTTACAGGAGCCCAAAAGCTCCACAAAGCAAGCGCCGGCCATCAAAAACCAGCCTAGGCTCTGGCCGCCCTGGACGTGCACGAGCTCACGCATGGCTGCAAGCGAGAGGGAAGGGAGATGCGAGAACTTACTGATGCCTGATGGCTGATGGCTGCGGAGATTTAGGGTTCAGGGTTTCGGATTTAGGGTTTCGGATTTAGGGTTTAGGGTTTCAGATTTAGGGTTTAGGGTTTCGGGTTTAGGGATTCAGACCCATGATGACTTATTTAGCAGGACGAAGCCCTAGAAGTCATGACCGAAGAATCCAAGCCCACAAGGTCCAGTGCACCTTGCTAAGGAGAACAGTAAATGACTGCTACCTCCACCAGCACCGTGACGAGGACTACTACTAATACTCTTCTACTAACACATACTAATACTAATAGTCATACTACTACCACCACTAGTATTTAACTAGTACTCATACTCAGTCATACTCATACCCATAGTTGTATTTCTGATAATACTGACAATACGAATAATACTAGTAATAACAATAACTATTAATGACAACAACAGTGCCCATAAGACTAATGGAGATGCTACAATAAGCAGACGAGGAAGAACATGAATAGAATACTTTACATCTCAAAACCCAAACCAACAGTGCCCGGAATGCTTTCGCCCCATCTGCTCCGGAAACTACAACTTACCTTGGGTTAGTAGGGAATGGAAGAATGGTAGTAATAGTAGTTGTAACTATACCCCATTCCTCCATTCCCTACTAACCAAAGGTAAGACAAACCTGAAACCAGAAGACCCTGGGGTAGACCCTGATACCCTGAAGCCACGAGCCCCAAATTACAAAAACCCTCATGCAGGGGGCCTTAATAATCAGAATGGGGGTTTGGGCTCCCTTATATTATAGTATACATATAAAAAGGAACCCTAAGGAATAATATTGGCAATTCTTCAAGAAGCTATAGTAACACCCCAAACACTCAGCAGCCAAAGCCCTAACGCGCCAACCACTCAGAAGCCCCAAGCCCTAAACCCCTCAACCCTAAAGCCCTAAACTTCTCTAAAGCCCTAACTTCTCTAAAGCCCTAAACTTAGGATCTTGGCAATCAAAACAAGCTGCGGCTAAGACGCCTCTGTGTGGCTTTGGCCTGGCGACTCGTTGGAGAAAGGAGCGCCTGCCCGGCGGCCATCCGATCCGTTTTCTTGATGATATGGGAGCTTGGGTTTAGGGTTCAGGGGCTTGGGTTTAGGGTTTAGGGGCTTGGGTTTAGGGTTTAGGGGCTTGGGTTTAGGGTTTAGGGGCTTGGGTTTAGGGTTTAGGGGCGTGGGTTTAGGGGTGTTCGGTGTGTAACAGACTAATAATCACAAGTGCTATACTTATACTATAATATACCCCTAAACCTTACTCTAGCTATGAAAGCCCATATATTATTAATGTTGATGCTGATAGCATGAACCAAACTTCGAACACCAATAACAACGACCGTGTTCATACCAATGTATTATAACCCCTAAAGCCTAAACCCCTGAACCCACTATACCCCTGAACAATAAGCCCAAAACCCCTACACCCTACCGACAATCCCAAAAAGGGTTTCCACAGTTTGCCCGTTGCCGCCTCATTGTCGCCCTGCACCTCATTCGGGCCGCCTGCACAACAGCAATCTTTTAATTAATGCAAATATTAGCAATATATAATAGCAAAACACTAGTCGCAGTAATAACAAAACTAAAGTTCAAAAACGACTGATCAGAATAGTTTTTATACTAGTAAGCCCAATGATAATAGTGGTGACATCCCTAATCCCACGCACGTCCGCCGTAGGACCAGGAAATCTTAAACTCCCGGGTCCTCTGAACCCAGAACGCACTACATATGGGAGTTTCCGAAATTTAGGGATACCTTACTTTGGGGTCCTTATAATAAGGATCCTACTATTTAGGGTACTATGTTAGACCCCTTTTTTTCGGAAACTCCCATATGGGTAGTTGTGAAAACTAAGGCCCCTTTTTGGGTACCCTAAATAATAGGTGCCGTAGTATAAAAAGGGCCCAAAAAGGGACCCTGATATTGACAACCACCCATATGCAAATCCCGAACCAGCGGACACCTAAACACACCATTCCAGGCACCGGAATTGATCTGAAAAGTTGAGTCCCTGGGATTCTGTTTCTTACGCCTTTGAATCCTTCACCTGGGTCAGGACATCATGGTGCAGCCCATCTCAAACCCTAAACCCCCCCAGAGATTCCAATATCCCCTAATTAAGGAACGAATATACCTCAAATCACATTAGGAATCCTACTACAATTTAGGTATATTCCTTAATTAAGGGATATTGGAGTCTCTGGGCTCCGAAATCCGAAACCCTAAACCCCCAAATCCGAAACCCCAAACCCCAAGCCCCGAATGCAGCTCCTCGGCCCACTTCCTCCTGATGCTTGTCGAGGAGACGCCGCTTCAGCGCGTCCAGCTCTTTTTCGAGGAAGTCCTGTCGCTTCGGTTCTTTGGGATTCAGAGTTTAGCTGCGTTTTGTCTCTGTCTGGACTCGTTTCCCTCCCTCTGGGGTTGAAGAGCTTTCGGTGCAGGAGGGTGTAGAACTTGCTGAGGGACCACATTACCTGGGGGTTTGGAGCTTTCTAGCGTTGCATTGGGCCAGAGGGTTTGTCAAGGGCTTATTTGGAACGGGTTCCATGTAACTGTCTCTTCCATGGACTAAATGACACACACACACACACATGTGGCTACCCAGGGTGGTGAAAGTCTTCAGTAATTAGATGTAAGTTTCAGTTTGGAGGCTTGGAGTGGGTTGAGAAAACATCTCGGCTTTGGGGCTCAATCGCAGGCCTCAAAAGGTGGGATGAAGGTAGGTAGGATGAAGGATCCCTTATATAAGGACTCTTATTTGGGAATATCCCACCTACCTTCATCCCACCTTTTGAGGCCTCCGACTCAAGGGGCCAAAGCCGAAACCCGTAAGAGTAGTCTTTGTAAGGCGGTGATGCGCCTTTTTCTCTTGAGATGTGGGGTCTGGGGGTGTCATTGTTTTCAACTTATGTCTGCCGGTGCATTGCCACGACGACTACTGGTATTGATGCGAGAAGTATTTCCAACCACAGCAATACTGCATGCCTTAGGGCTCAAAGCCAAGGCTTGGCGGCGTTGAAACTTCTTGAGCGGGGCTGCAGGTACATGAACTCTCAAGCAACAGACGTTCTGCAAAGCGGCACGAAGCACGACACTTAAACCATCACTGTTGCTTTTGCTGAGCTTATGAAGGTGAAGATTGCAATAGAGTTTTGTGTTTTTCACTTCTTCTTCCTCTTCTTGTTTCTGCTGTCATTGTTGCTGTTGCTCTATCTGTCACTGCGGCTGTGCCTTCTGCGGATGCTGCTGCTGCTGGTGCCACTGCCAGTGTTACTGCCGGCGCTAGTGCTATCGCACTGTCGTTGTTGCCGTTGCTGATGATGGTTATGTTTTTCGGCGTTCCTCTTTTTTCTGCCGTCGCTGTGGCGTGCAGTGGTGGTGGTGGTGGTGGTAATGGCGGCTGGTGAGTTGCCTCTGTGATAGATTTGGACGGTCTTTTCGCCTTTGTGCAAAGTCTTAGTACTGAACGTGGTCGTGCTGTACGTATGAAGATTCACAACACGCGGGCTCTTAGCAACGGCTACAGCCACTGCAAGCTTCAGCGTCAAACCCTAAGACCTTAATCCCTCTAGCTTTGCAAGCCCGAAGCCCGAAACCTCAATACGGGGGCCGTAATAGTAACATCATACTATAATAAGGAACCCCCAGAACTCTTTTCCAATTATTAGGGCTCCGAAACCTTACTTAATCCCTTTAGGCCTGGTTTCGCATCATCTGTCCTCGTAGGCGTAGCCGTTGCTCTCTTGCGAGAGATTCTCCGATGGACTCCCGAGGCCCATCATCTCGGAGCGCGATGCCCCCCACGGTCTCCGTGACTACTAAAATCCGGACGTTCTGAGCCCGAAGGAGCCCCCCTAAGCACCCAAACCAAACGTGAGCTTTGAGCTTTTGGGGGGGGCGGGGGGGGGGGGGGGTTGCAATCTTTCTTGGCCGAGAGTCTATATGACGTTGAGCTTCTCGTCTCGGCCACGACAGAGTGGCCAATCCCTGAAGCTTTGATATATGTAGAAAGCCACCCTCAACCCCAAAGCCGAAACCGATAAGCCTTTAATGCACATGTCAGCCATCTTCCTTCTTAGTCCTAGCGCCAGCCGTTCCCTAAGCGCAGCTGTACTGAGGCGCATCGAAACGACAGGGTTTTTCTTGAGGGTTTGGGGAGGTGTAAAGTGCTTGAGCCCCAAAGAAGCTGCAGCCAACTGGCTCTGTCTCCGTCTCCGAAGAAAGGTATCACTTCGGAAGTTTATCAAGACACCCCTGCTTATACAAGGGTTCTTAGTGTGCAAGACAAGTTGGGGAGTTACAGCCAGGAGTTGCTTGCGGTCGGCTCTGAGACCTTTCATGGCTTGCCTTCCAGATCCCTGAAAGCCCAAGCACACATCTGTCCAGCAGGAAGTCTTAATTTTTTAGAAACCTTTATGAATAGAGTATCCTAACAGAGAAGCCCTTATGAGAACAGAGAAGCTTCGGGGTACATCTTCTTAGGATTACAAAGCGATACGATTGTTCCTAGTGGCTCTAGCCTTTATCTTAGCAGCAACACAGTTCCTGACATCCGTATGAACTCACAGGAATCTCCACCTAAGCCCTGAACCCGAACCCCCCCGAAACCCTATTTTAGTTATTAAGGCCCCTACATTACTATAACTATAGCTATAACAAGGAACCCCCGAACCCTATGTCGATTTTTAAGGTCCCTACAGGAAGCAGGAAGCCCGTTTTTGTCAGGCAACTTCCAGGTCCTGCCAACTTCTCCAGGCTTACCCAGGGACTCCCAAACCCCTTAGTTGACGAAGATGCCTTTTGGGGTTTAGGTTTAGGATGCACTAAAGCATAGTACAGATCACTGTGTACTTCAATGTGCATCGCGTAATTGTAGGGGCCTTAATAAGTAGAATAGGGTTTGGGGCATATGGTAGCGCACTTCTATAGGGACTGAAAGGGACATTGCTTGCTGATGAATCGGCCCGCCATCGTAACTAAAGAGTTTTGGAGTCTCTGTCTTAGTGAACCGAGACCTGCGTGAAACGAAACTCAGCCCCTGAGCCCCATGGTCAGTATTACGGCTTGAAGGAATCCTTAACAGGGTGTCTAGAAGGTTTCCTGTACAAGGGTTCTTACTTACAAGGCTCCTGTAAGTATCCTAGAAGCGCTCCTTTGAGGGTTCTTTGGGGACTTGGGATTTAGGGTGTAGGGTTTCAGGTTTGGGGGTTTATGGGCTTCGGGTCGAGTCACGCGAACTTCCCTTAATGTGTTTACCATGGATACACCGGCTTCGAAAATCGTGGGCCTAGGAGAAAACGAGAGCCTGAGCGCCCGCAGACCCGAAACCCTAAACTCCACGTTAGATTAAGCCCAAAGGCTTCTTTCTACAAGGGGTACTATTTCGGGCACTCTAACATAAAGGTACCATCCGGGCGCTACAAAGGTACTATAAGATTTCAGGGCTAATGTAGGAATCTGATTAAGAAACCCTGGGCCTATAACCCCAAAATAATAGGATTCATATAAGGAACCCAAATAAAGGCCCAAGGCTTCTTAATGAGGTTCCTACATTAGTATACTGGGTGATCTTTGGACTAAAAGGATCAGAAACTGACATGAACTTAAACCCTAAACCATAATGGAACGAAAAGGCTCGGAAACTTTTTTTAAATCCTATAAACCCTAAACCCTACGCCGTTTCAGCACTAAAAGGCTCAGAAACTTACGAGCTCGTTCTCGGTACGATCCTTGGAGGATGATCTCCCAAATCGGCTGGCAGATCTCCTGTTGATGCGTCAGGTTTAGGGTTTAGGGGCTTCAGAGCCATGGTTCTTGTGAAGGGGGTTTAGGGTTTTGGGGTTTATGTACCAGTTTTGCTATTTCTGGGGCTTGGGAGTTTTAAGGTTGAGGGAGTATTTACAAGGGCTTTGGGATATTTGTGGGTTCAGGGTTTTGCTCCCTGAGTGTACCTGCTTGTTTGTGTCTAGGACGGGCTTTCATTGGTAGTCTTCTCGAAAGAGCACAGCTGATCTGACGACTGTGGTGTGGAGAACAACCACAGCCTTACTGCTCCTGTTTTGAGTTTCTTTGTTGGCACCGCTATTAGACCACCGGGCATTGCAATGAACAAGCTGTCAAAACACTGGTGCTCTTGCTGTCGTCCATATACGTAAGCAGTCGAACTTATGAATGCTACTGTTGCTTATCGGTGTTAAACGCTTAGCGTGGAGTTAGATCTCGCTCTAGGGTTGTGTCTCGTGGAGCAACCTGCATGGGGTGGTTCCCACGGATTTTAAACACATGGGAGTTTCCGAAAATAGGGGACCCCAATATAGTACCCTAAATAGTAGGATCCTTAATATAAGACACCAAAAGAAGGCACCTCTAATTTTCGGAAACTCCCACATGCATCAAACCCAGGCTCATGGGATCTCGGGAGCTACCATGCCCGGCCTAACACCCGCTTTCTGCCTCAAGGGCGACTTGACACTTCCAACCAAGGCTACAGCGATGTTTCTACCCTATAATGGGTTATATAATGGGTATATAATGGCTATATTAAGGGTATATACCTAGGGGTCCTTATTAAGGGTCCCTCCTTTTACCCTGGTTTCAAGCTAAAACGAACCATGATGGGAACTAAGTGGGGAAGACCTGTACATCTGCATACGGATCCTGCTAGTACCCCTTACCTTGTACGATCTAAGCGCTAAACCCAACCACTGAAAAAATCCTTGACGTGAAACCGAAATCGCAAACCCCTTGACACCCTTCCACCGCCTAATCCCTGAATTGCAGCCCACTCGCGGCAGTTATAGACTGGGAAACATGCCCTGTGACCAATATCCTACCGGTTGGGCCAAGCAGCTCTTTGAGAGAGGCAAAGCGTTCTGCCCGATCGGCGAGATCCTAAGATTAAACAGGTCGCCCTTGTTCTTTTGGATTCGGGTTTTGCCCCCTCCAAGGCGAATTTAACTGAAGTGGTCGATGCCAGTCCTCCGTAGTAGCCGGGCCCACCGATTCTTCCAAATTTGCGGCAACACTGGGGCAAGGATTAGTCACGGTCAGGGTCCATGGTGGGTGCGACCTCAGCATTTGGGGCGGTGTACCCGGAACCTCCAATATCCCTGAATTGAGGAATATACTTTAAATTGCAGTAGGACCCTTAATATGATTTAAGGTATACTCCTTCATCAAGGGATATTGGAGTCTCTGGGTATCACAAAAAGCCCAAAAGCATACTGTAGAGGCCTTAATAATTAGAATATAGTTCTGGTGCTAAGTTTCTACTATAATTAGAATAGAGAAGCCCCCAAACCCAATTCTAATTATTAAGGCCCCTATAAAATAGTGCCCTTATGGACCCCTTATAGCACCCCATATAAGACCCCTTTACCCCTTTAAAAGGGACCCTATTCTAAGTATGAAGGCCCCTTAGCAGTACTTGGAGGGTCGGGGGACTTAGTAACTGGTTATTTTAGTGACTTATAAGTACCATAACCCCAATTAGGGTCCCTGTCAGGGTACTTATAAGTCTACTTACTACCTACTTACTAAGTCCCCCGACCCTCCAAGTACAGCCTCCCAGTCCAAGGCGCCCGAGTGGAAATGTTGTTTTGAACGGAGATGTCGTTGACCTCCGTCCCTTGGGCCTGCGAATAGGGCCTTAAAAACCCATGGGTTTTGAAACACATCTTTTGAAACTCCTCCGTCCCCTGGGCCTACAAAGAGGGCCTTAAACACCATGGTTTTCAAACAACAACCTTTGTTGAAATTCCTCCGTCCGCCTTGGGCGTGCGAGATCTCGCTCGGAGCTTGTATCGAAGAATCGATGGTTAGACTAATATAAAAGGGCCTTCATAGTTAGAAGGGGGTTTGGGGGCCCATTACACTACAAATTGCGGTAAGGAGCCCCAGAATAGTATAGATAATTATGAAGGCCCCTATATTAACGGTTTTTGGGAGTTTCTTGACCACGAAGATATGAGCAAGGAACCCCAAGTAACAGGCTTACTGATGGCTTTCTCTTCCTACACGGAGTACAGCATTCCTTCAGGCCAAGGGTTCAGGGATCGGGAGTGGTGGCTTGCTCTGGTTGCTCCAGGCCTTGGGTGCAAGAAAGGAACTGTGAGGAATACCATGGCTATCATTATGAACAGCAGCAGCCACGCCCTGCAAGAAGACCACTAGTCCTAGGCGGCGTTACAACCTATCCGAATGGCCGCGAAGTAGAATCCCCAAGTTTGGGGCCAAATGGATCCCAATACTTTTCTCTGGGTTCCTTTCTGATTCCAAGTATGCTATACTCGAAAGCCGTGATAGTAGTAGTAGTAGTAGTAGTAGTAGTAGTAGTAGTAGTAGTAGTAGTAGTAGTAGTAGTAGTAGTAGTAGTAGTAGTAGTACTAGTAGTACTAGTTGTAGCAGTACCAGTACTGTAGGGGCCTAAATAAATACCAATAGTATTGTGGGGGTTCTTTCTGATGATCATAGTATAACATGCCCCAAAACCCTAGTCTAATTATTAAAGCCCCTATAGTAGTAGTAACAACAAAGGCCCCAACAGAAACCATATGAACTCCCTGCAGGCCCAAACTCCCGCGGCCTGCAAAGCTTCAATCTCCGACAAGAGAAGGATGCCGAAAATCTTGAGATACTCGCCTTGTCTTAGGGGTTTAGGGGTTGGGGTTTAGGGTTTTGGGGTTTAGGGATACTCGCCGTGTCTTGTACTTAGCTGGATCTTCTGCTGGTCGAAAGCTCAACCGACTCACCGTTTAATGATATATATATATACACACACAATCATTGTAAACGTATGTATACACTTGCATGTTGGCACACTGTGCAGAGTTGCGCACACTTCGACCCATCCGGAAAACACCGCTGCGCTTCGCAGTCGAGGCACAGAGCGGACCTCCGAAAGAAGCTGCCAACCTCCGTGCCGCATTTGCGGTTAAGAGTTCAGGGATCTACACCTGACAGGCTGAGGCTTAGGGGTCAGTTTAGGGGCCTAGGTTGTAGGTTATATGTGTACTATGTATGCAGGCTATCAGCTGAAACATCACGCGTGGTGGATTTTGGCGGTTGAGCGTCCGGGTCGTGTCCGGGCTCAAACGGCTGTGAAGGTTTGACAAGGCTTTCTTCGCCCGGCTTCCATGAGCAATGTACACGAAGGCCTGAGAAGGGCCTTGACAAGGGGCCTCGGCTCAAATGCGCTTGGACCCGGAACCTTATGCTGAGACAACAAATGTGAAAACTTAAGCTAAGTTACCATAACAGGGACGTAAAGTAAATAATACAGTTTCTTAATTCTGGTAACTTAACCTACATCCTTTAAGAAGAACCCAGGCAATGTGGCATCGACTGAAAAGCTCTGCGTCTTTGCTTAGAGTCTGACACCTTGCAGTCGGGCCTTCGAGGTGATTGCGTGTTGATGTTAATACAAGGGCCTTAACAATAAGTATAATACTGACTTGGGTACGGCCCCCGTACAGTAACAGTCTATAATCGGGCTACTATTAAGGGCCTTATATATCTATGTTATGAATATTAAATATTTATAATACTTTAGAAGGGGCCCCCACCCTGTAATAGTGGTATAATAGGAATATAATAGGGCCCTAATATAATCCTTTTAGTCACTATTACAGGGTGGGGGCAGCTTCTACATAATACTGACCATCAACATAGTATAGGTGATTATGAAGGCCCCTAAAGTAGCTTCGCTTGCGGCAATAGCAGAAGGCATCAGATCTAGATTTCCGCGGGCTGTAAAAGTGAACCAGCACGTTTGACACGTCTAACCGAAAAATTATGGGGGCCCCATGTGTCGGAGAAATCCCCAATGGTCTAAAAGGCTGGTTGAGATTCACCACTCAGTGAACACCGGGAAACCAATAAAGGACCTTCTGAACCCAGCTGTTACAAAGGGTGACGGAGCAAAAAAAAATTAAATTTGAATCAAAAAAATTAAAGCACAAAGATCAAAAAAATTAAAAATTGGATCAAAAAAAAATAAATCAGTACTTCCGCCGCAGAATCACACAAAAAACAAGGGGTGCTCGAGGGTGACGGATCAAAAAAAAATTAAATTTGGATCAAAAAAAGGACTCCAAAAATTAAAAACAGTATCAAAAAGGTTAAAGCAGTACTTCTCTTTTGCCCCCCTAAAGCGATGTCATGTGTCTCGACAACTAAAGAAAGCGGGGAATTTATGTGGCTTCTCCCTCTCTTCGTTTTCCACAGAGACTCACGTTGTCGTTTACCTTTGTTTTTTTGTTTCTTGCTCTTGGCTTCCCAAAGCGAATACATCTGGCTTTCGCCCTTTTGCCTGTCGGTGAAGACGTTTCATTCATGAGAAATCTTATATTCTTCGAATTCTAAATCCCCTGAAGTGTTTTCGTGTGGCTTTGTCCTTGTTGTGCGTTTAGAAAAAACGTCTTTAATTCATTTCATCGACAGCTTAAGAAAGCGGGCAGTTTGCAGTTAAAAAAACGTTGGGCGCAGCCCCCCCGCCTTGCAAACCTTCCAACATGAACTTTGTTTTGCTCGCTTATACCCCCCTAAAACGATTTCATGTGGCTCGACAACTTAAGAAAGCGGGCAGTTTGCAGTTAACAAACGGGGGGGTTGGGGGGCGCAGTCTCCCACATTTGCAAACCTTCCAACATGAGCTTTGCTTTGCTCGCTTTTACCCCCGCAAAGCGATTTCATGTGGCTGGACAACTTAAGAAAGCGGGCAGTTTGCAGTTAAAAAAGCGGGGGGGGTTGGGGGGGGCGCAGCCCCCCCGCCCATTTGCAAAACATTTCAACATGAGCTTTGCTTTGCTCGTTTTTACCCCCTAAAGCGATTTCATGTCCCTCTCTCCGTTATCCAAAGAGATGCATGCTTTCGTTTTACTGTGTTTTCTTGGTCTTGCCCTCCCAAAGCGAGCACGTATGGCTTTCGCCATTTTGCCTGTCGGTGAAGACGTTTCATTCGTGAGAAGAAAACGGGGGGGTTGGGGGGGCGGCGCAGACCCCCCCATTTGCAAACCATCCAACATGAACTTTGTTTTGCTCGGTTTACCCCCCCTAAAGCGATTTCATGTGGCTCGACAACTTAAGAAAGCGGGCAGTTTGCCGTTAAAAAAGCGGGTGGGGGTTGGGGGGGGCGCAGCCCCCCCCCCCTTTGCAAACCTTCCAACATGAGCTTTGCTTTGCTCGCTTTTGCCCCCCTACAGCGATGTCATGTGTCTCGACAAGTTAAGAAAGCGGGCAGTTCATGTGGCTTCTCCCTCTCTTCGTTTTCCACAGAGACTCACGTTGTCGTTTTACCTTTGTTTTCTTGTTTCTTGCTCTCGGCTTCCCAAAACGAATACATCTGGCTTTCGCCCTTTTGCCTGTCGGTGAAGACGTTTCATTCATGAGAAATCTTATATTCTTCGAATTTTAAATCCCCTGAAGCGTTTTCATGTGGCTTTGTCCTTGTTGTGCGTTTAGAAAAAACGTCTTTAATTCATTTCATCGACAGCTTAAGAAAGCGGGCAGTTTGCAGTTAAAAAACGGGGGGGGGGGTTGGGGGGGGCAGCTCCCCCCCCTTGCAAACCTTCCAACATGAACTTTGTTTTGCTCGCTTATACCCCCCTAAAGCGATTTCATGTGGCTCGACAACTTAAGAAAGCGGGCAGTTTGCAGTTAACAAACGGGGGGGTGGGGGGGCGCAGTCCCCCACATTTGCAAACCTTCCAACATGAGCTTTGCTTTGCTCGCTTTTACCCCCCCTAAAGCGATTTCATGTGGCTGGACAACTTAAGAAAGCGGGCACTTTGCAGTTAAAAAAGCGGGGGGGTTGGGGGGGGCGCAGCCCCCCCCATTTGCAAACCTTTCAACATGAGCTTTGCTTTGCTCGTTTTTACCCCCCTAAAGCGATTTCATGTGGCTCTCCCTCTCTCCGTTATCCACAGAAATGCACGTTTTCGTTTTACTTTGTTTTCTTGGTCTTGCCCTCCCAAAAATAGGACGTCTGGCTTTCGCCCTTTTGTCTGTCGGTGAAAACGTTTCATTCGTGAGAAGAAAACGGGAGGGTTGGGGGGCGGCGCAGACCCCCCCCCATTTGCAAACCTTCCAACATGAACTTTGTTTTGCTCGGTTTACTCCCCCTAAAGCGATTTCATGTGGCAAGACAACTCAAGAAAGCGGGCAGTTTGCAGTTAAATGGCGCGTGGGTGATCACCTTCCTTTCCGTCCATTTCCTTTCATTCCCTGTTGCTTTTCTTTCTTTCTTTCTTCGCTGCTTCCTTGCTTTTCTCCTTCCTTCCTTCCTTCCTTCTTTCCTCCTTCCCTCCTTTGCTCCTTCCCTCCTCCCTTTCGTGCTTCCCTCCTTCCTTCCTTCCTTCCTTCCTTTCTTCCTCCTTCCTTCCTTCCTTTCTTCCTTCCTTCCTGTCGTGGTTTCGGCTAAGTTAATTTTTTTTGATCCAAATTTAATTTTTTTTGATGCCTATCCCGCTGTTACTAGGGATATGCGTGTCTCATGGTTCTCACTTTGCAAATCAGTTCAAAACCGGGGGCTTCGTCGATGAGCGACTGGTTGAGAATGAGATGGCCGTACAAAATACAACACGTAAGCCTTTAAGTCTTTTCGGGTATCTGGCAGAGCTTCCATGGAGCACACACACACACACACATTCACACACAGCTTTGTTGTCCATGGGCTAACTGACCCACATTATGATTTCGTCTACATGTGGCAGCATCCAGATGTTGCAGCTTTGGACAATTTACACAAGTTTGGAAGCGTGCAAACCTGGTAATAAGTGCTCGAGATGCTTGCATCAGCAGAAACGAAAATGTCCTCGAGAAGGTCGTGAGCCCGACACAACTGCATGCAAGTAACACTTGTGTGATGGTCGAAATGAAAAGACACCGTGACGAAAACGGCACGCTGTCCGATGAAGCACCGAGCGCATTTCAGACGAGCGCCGTCTGTCTGATGGCAATGCTATTCACAGCACCATGTACCGCCTGTCGCCTCGAACATCCAGAATCTAGTTCTGTGCCTACGCCAACTCTGGACGACCCCTTGAATTGACACCTTCAGCCTGTACTAGGCACAAATCCGCCGCAAGCCGCCTCAAACTCCAACACGACAAGTCTTTGGTCGGAAATCGGAAACAAACCGGCATCCCAGGATGTCGTGCCAGGCCCAGGGGTGTTTTGTTTTGAAGACAATGTTCATATAACTGCACAGTACAGACAATGTGCGTCAAGTTGGCGCCGCGCAGGCTTGGCCATTCAGGCCACATGCGGCTCTCGTGACGGTCTGGTGATACTGGCTTGGGTAGGCAGCACAAACTGTCAAGCACGACTCGATCAAGAGCAACCCAGCGACATACTGAAGTCCCTGCAGCCGACGCCGATGTAGAAGCACCTGTGGCACGTGTTGACGCATGTTTTCAAACCCCTACAACTTGTCGCGCGCTCGCCGGAATCCACAGGCACACTGGAAAGCCTGCATCCGTAAAGCCGTGCCATCAATGCAAACTGCACCAACAAGATTTCCCGTGTTCCAAAACCTTCAATGTGGCAGAAGCTGCCAAACATCGTAGCGGGACGCAACATTTCGTTTTGCAAGCGTACTGCCTGGTTGCTGACAAACTTAGTCGCCGGTTCACGGGCGCAGTCGACAGGTTGAGCTTCGGGACTTTTGACGGTTCAAACATCATTGGTGCGTCCATCGGTGCAAGTCCCGCGCCAAATTGCCTTACCAAGCTCATCATGTAGCAGCGAAGTAGATTGAGCTCTACAAAGTGTGCAACCTTTGCCATGCTGAAGTGAGTACTGCGGTTGTTCAATTCAGTAGTGTCAAAATTACCCTTCAAGACGTTGCGGCACATGCAAATTCTGCTTCAAAGGATTGGGCGGGGTCCTGTGCTTTCGCCGAACGATTCCATGCGGTGTTGGATTACATCAGCCCTAAATCTGCTGGACTCAGTCAACCTCAAACTTGACTCCTAAACATCTTAGACCCAAAAGCCCTAAACACTAATCACCAACCCACGAAATTATCAAACTTTGCACTGGCGCTTCGGCCGTATCTGACGTCATTTATGTATTCACACATCGGAAAGAGTTGAAGGGCTCAAAACGCAAGTCACTCACGTTCGAACTGGAAGTCTCGGTCACTAATCCTTTAGCTTCTAGATGCTGCTCCCGATGGGTACTATTACATAGTGTAATGCATTCAGACTGCAACTACGGTACGTCCTGCCATCGACTGCAACTGAAACTGAAGCAGATCCTGATCTCTCATCCTTCGACACTACGCACCAATCTTGAAACGCCTCCACCTTGAACCCTAAACCTTGCATACTGTAGGGGCCTTAGTAGTCAGAATAGGGTGTTGAGGGTTTTTAACTTATAAATTATAGTATAGTATACCCGAAAACCCTACTCATAATGTTTGGCTTTCTTCCTTAAGGATTATCGTCGCCAAAAAATAAGATCATCTTTAAGTACCCCTGAATAAACCCTCTAAACCTCCCTGAAAGCTTGGGGTGCCCTTCTCAAGGTGTTAGGCTTTGGTGCTCTTTCTTCAGGACTTGTCGTTTGAGGTGTTCGGGATCTGCTGCCTGGTGGGTTTGTATTGTGATCCCTTTTTCCTTAGTGGCTGAGACACCCAAGCCCCCAAAAAAGGTTAACCTTTTCAGTTCTGGTAGGATTATATAAACCCCAAACAGTGAAAGGGTACCTACTCAGCTTCTAAGTTTTGTACACAACCTCTTCCCCCCCGTGTCCAAATCCTTTCCTGCACTGTTGTGAAACACCCTAAACCTTAAAACCTTGATGAAGCAGCGGGAAAGCTGCACTTGAGTCATAACACCACGAAGACTCTGATATTGCAGAGGGCCATCGCTTGCGGATCAAACTGGAAGGGAGTGTTCTTTCTATGCTATTGCAACATCTCAATGATCCCGCAAGAAAGTACAAGCAGCAGATGTTGCGCCGGCAACGGGTAGCAATGGTAGAAGCCGTCGTATTTGCAATCTTAAAAGCAGAAACGCCGCAGTAACACGAGTATCAGCCTTAGCCGAAATGCTGGTTGGCTGGATCAGTGGTGCATTCCGGTAGTTTGTTGTTTGAGCATTTGGCTGCAGTCTGCAGCAGATAGTTAGATCATCTCTTCGCAGATGGTGCACATCTGGCAGCAGGTCCTTCTCTACATTAGGGTCCTTCTTTTGGCATCCCTGAAAGAACACGGTGCCATGAAAACAGGGACCCCAACTTGGAAACCCTCCATATGCCTGTTCCAAGCTTAGCTACTTGCATCCCTTTCGCGGGCTATGCTGTTGTTGCCCGCATCTATGTAAACCCGACACACCCCTTCTATGGGGCCATCATAACGCGAGGAGGTCCATGACATGGAAGCCTGAGTAAATGCCAACATTCTTCCGTGGGGTTGCTTTCAGGGTTCACGGTTTAAAGCTTTTTAATTTGTATCGTTAAAAGGCGGTAAATGGAGCTCCCTTCTTTCTGGCTTTCATATCGTAACATAACCCGTAACCCTGCAAAAAAACGCCTTTTTGCTTAGCCATTACGAAGGAAACAGATGCTTGGGAGTCTCTTCCCAGGCACGTGCCGAGATTCGCAGTGAGGCGACCCATATGTGGCCACTCTGCCCACCTCAGCCATTCCGGGGCTTGGGGTTCCTTTGAGGCCTCTACTAAGGGGGTACTACAAGTAAGGCCTCAGCACAAAGGCCTTAAGAAATGGAACTCAGCCATTCCGGCAGAGAGGGGTTTGAAAGGGCGGGGCCCAAAACCCTAAACATTAAAAAGCCTCCGAGCAACCCCTGGCTATCCGAAGCCTCCACCTTCCATCCAACAAGCTTCAGGAAACACCACGTCACAAGATTTGTCATTATGGTGTCCTACATGAGTACGATGACACTGAGGATATGAGTAGTGTTGTTGCCAGCAACTGTAAGATGTAAGAACCAGGACAGAGATAGCAATCGCAACGACACCAACAATCAAAGCCACGAAAGGCAGCAGCATTGCTAGACGAAGCCAATGCCGGTACTCTAGGGGCCTAAATAAATACCTAGACTATTTTGGTGGTTCCTCAGTATATTTATAGGATAATGCGCCTGGAAAACCCTGTTCTGGTTATGAAAGCCCTATAGTATTCAAACGGCAATACTAACCCAGACCTGGATCCCAAAGGACCTACCTTTTGAGGGTTCCTTACTATGATTTCCTTATCTAAGTCATCAAAAAGGTAGGTTATTCGGGGTTAAGGGAGTCTGGCCTGAACCCCGAACCCCCCGAATAAGCTTCCTGAGGCCTTGCGATCCCCCTCCCCAGAGACTCCAATATCCGTTAATTAAGGAATATACCTTAATTCATATTAAGGATCCTTAAGATGATTTCAGGTATATTCCTTAATTAAGGGATATTGGAGTCTCTGGGTCTTCTCAGCACAGGGTACAAGGAGGGCAGGCAGCACACAGTGTCGCTCTTGCAGTCTTCGGTCTCCTTGCACCCAAACTAGCCTAGATTTCCACTGGGTTGTTCTGGGTATTGGACTCTGTGGCGCTGGTGGCTTTCCTGAGGAGTTCTCCTACCACAAGCATAGTACTTCACACGGGTCCGGTACACACCACGGTCCTCCGCAAAGCGCTGAGTTTGAACCCTAAACCCTCCTGCATTCCGTGTCAGTGTAGGGGAGGCTCAATGTGTTTCGGGCTTAGGGTGAGCCAGGGCGCTGAGGATCTGTAGACTGGAGGTTTCATGTGAGGATTGAGGTTTAGAGCTGAGGATGTACGATGGCAAGAACACTTTTGTTCGGAAATCTAAAAATCACAGCGACGCGCTAAGAGACAATAGACGCCGGCTTATGAGGGATCCATCATACGTGCCCAGACCCACGCAGCAGATTTGAACTCGCCTTTTGTACTACACGCTCCAAGATGACCACGAGTCAGACACAGTTACGAGGAGCTCATGAACCCTGAACACTAAGTACAACTCAGTACAAACTCGAAGCCCAAAGCGCAAAGCCCTGAAATCGAAGGAACCGACGGAAGCAACTTAATCCAGGGGCCTTCATAAACAGTGATGCTATACCTTCGGGTTCCTCATTGTAACTATATTACCTTGAAGACCAGCCAAGCCCCCTGGAATCCCAAAGGCGTCCTTCTCCAGCGTGTGATACTCAAGGGAGCCGGTCTGTATCACATAAACCTGAAGCTTAACTTTAGGGTTGGGTACGGCCCCCACTCAGTAATTGTTGAATAATATTCATAATATAGATATAGTAGGACCTTAACAGTAACCATGTGATAGACTCTTGCTGTATGGGGGCCGTACCTAACTTTAGGGTTTCGGGTTCCGGATGCTCCCTTTCACCCGTCTTGTGCAAACAGGATGACGTCGGCCTTCTTGCTGTTGCAAGATGTTCCTCTACTTGCAGCCTGCCTGGGGCAGGGTCTGATGTCCATGATGCAGTCGCTGATAATATAGGGGCCTGAATAATTGGAATAAGGTTTGGGGGAAAGATAAGGTACCCCCAAAACCCTACTCTAAATATTCAGGCCCCTATATAACTCCTTCTGCTACAACTACTTTCTTTTGCCGCCATCGCTGCCGCACTTGAGGCAACGGCCCTGGCAATGTGTTGTGTTGCTGTTCCTGACGGTCTTCTTAGTCTCCCCGGTGGCATTGCAGCTGCTTTTGTCACCTGTCTGGTTCTTAGAAAGGAATATCATAGGGATCCTAAGGACTAATAAGGCCTATTTAAGGAAATATAGTCCCCTACACCCCTCCCCCCTACACCCCTAAGGATCCCTATGAGAATAGGGGAAGGGGTTATTGGGACTACTGTAGGGGACCTTGAGGGACTATCATAAAGATCCATTCCCCCATTTCCTAGTAAGCACCAGACAGTTATTGCTGCTTTTGCAGCTTGTGCTGCTGCTGCTGCTATTTGGGAGCTCCCGCAAATAGGGGACCCTTATAGTACCCCCAAATAGTAGGATCCCTATTATAAAGACCCCAAATAAAAACAACCTCGGAAACTCTAAACCCCTTATATAGAGCCCTTTAAAGGAACCGTTATACTGCAACTCCAAAGCCTCGAAGCCCTGAGAGCTGGGGCTCCCATAAACGGGAGTTTCCCCCGAAACTTAGGGGGTACCGTATTAGGGTTCCTTTAGAGGGTTGCTAGAAAGGGTAGTATAACGGTTCCTTTAAAGGGCTCTATATAAGGGGTTTAGAGTTTCCGAGAATTAGGGGTATCTTATCTTGGGGTCCTTATAATAGGGATCCTACTATTTGGGGTACTAGTACTTGGAGGCCCTTTTGACTTAGTAACTAGGATTAGTAAGCTGGGTTATGGGGATTATAATAGGGTTTCTAGGGGATACTAAGTAGACTTATTAAGTCAAAAGGGCCTCCAAGTAGGCTTCGAGGTTTAGGAGTGTGGGTTTAGGGTTTTATGGGTTAGGGTTTAGGGGTTTACGGTTTTCGGGGTTAGGGTTTAGGGATTTGGGTTTAAGGTTTTGGGTTTTGGGTAATTGGACGAAGGCTTCCTTTAGAAACCTTTAGAGGACTGTTCGGAGGTTTTGGTAAGGGTTACTACAAGGGACCTTGTAGGGTTTTATTCAGGTTCCTCAACAAATGAAACGGGCTTCCAGGGGTCTAGCATGCTTTAATTGTAGTAAGAGGCCAAACAAATAGTTTTACTAGATACTGTTGATGATATAAATCCTGCATTACCTTAAGGACCCTAAACTATGGGAATTATGGTATATTCCTTATTATGGGTAATGCAGGATTTAGATCTTCAACCGTACGGCCCATGTAGAAGGGCTGTCGGGGCTTCTGGCTCTCGGGTTTCTGATCTTAGGCTTCACTCCAAGGGAAAAGGAGGGACCCTTAATAAGGACCCCCAGGTATATACCCTTAGTATAGCTAAAAATATACCCATTATATAGCCCATAATAAGGACCCCCAGGTATATACCCTTAGTATAGCTAGTAGATAGCCTATTATAGGGTAGTGGTCCCCAGTAAGGGTCCCTCCTCTTCCCCGTTGATTCACGGGTTCAGGGCTTGGGCTCTATGGACTTCTTCGGTATCCAGGCTCTGCGCCTCATCTTAACTTCACCATTCGGCGCGATGCGCGGCGGATACTTTCTAGTAGCCGGGCCTGCATAACTAAAACTGCGAGGGTCATATGAAAGCATAGTCTTACAAGTAAGGAACTAACAAGCCAGACTTCCATTCTCTCTCCAAGGCCGAGAGGATGAACTCCCAAACGATGTTTTTTCATGGTCAGAACCCCATGAAAGCTGAAGGGTCGAGTATATTGGAGAGCCAAGCTACCCGGGGCCAAGAGGCACTGAACAACATGTGGGAGTTTCCGAAAATTAGGGTACCTTGTTTTGGGGTCCTTATAATAAGGATCCTACTATTTAGGGTCCTCTATTAGGGTCCCCCATTTTCGGAAACCCCCATGTTCGTACGGAGTATTCGGTTGCAAGCGTTTTCTGAGGATCCCAGGCTCTGAAGCACATCAAGGCACATACTGGCAGAGCTTGTGCGGCAGGAATACCTCGGACAGACAGAATGCAGCCCCCTAAATCCCCAAAGTGCTAAGCCCAAGCTCCTTTGGGGCGATGGATGCCTACATGGGAGCTTCATGTCGGTCACCCCCTCAATCCTAGGGGAACTAGAGGTTCTGTGCGAGATGATTACAAGGGTTACGCTACTACAAGTACTAAGTTAAAGGGCGGTTCTGCAAGTTGCGCCCCGCGAAGAGAAAGGCTGCTCCTAGTAGAGTCCCTACCCGGCCCTTTCCGGAATCATCTCCTCCTCTTAGGCCTAGCGGCCTAGCGCCCCTGCAGCCACCACAGCGATAGGTCCATACATGCACAGAGAGAGAAGAAGCGGAGAGAGAGAGAGAGAGAGAGAGAGAGAGAGAGAGTAGCACCCAGGACCTAAGCCCTGAGCCGAAACCGCAAGAAGGCCCGAGTCTGAGCTGAAACTGAAGAGAGCTCTCGCCTCCGAACGCTTTGTATGTTGCTTATTCCACATACAACAATGTAACAAGACCCCCCCCCACACCATAACACTATTCAGCTACAATAGAGTTCAGTTGGGCGGCGGGTCGAACAAGAGGTTCCTAATGGGAGCTTGCTTCAGCACATCCTAGGTTCTGAAATGGCCAGCAGGTATGTAAGAAACACAAGCAGAACTGCCATCACAGGACTCAAGGCCACCCCATACCGACCTGTAGACCCCCCAAACTCGAAACCCCTAAGCCCCTAAACTTACCCCTAAACCCTGAAAGCTCTGTGCTCCCTAAACCCTAAACCCCTAACCCCCAATCCCGACATCCTTTCATGCTCCGAGTGGCATCTTGACCGGGCCGGCAGGTATGCTCGGACATGGCCTGATGGCCTGGAATTCTGAAGCTGAAGCGGGTCTACTGGGTTCCTGTTATCAAGTTACCATAAGAGGGATCTGCATTACGGTGGTAAGATTAAACCAGATTCCTGAACAAGAACCCAGTTTGGGGGCTCAGGTTCAAGGGTTGAAGTTGCACGGATTCGCTCGCATTCCGGAGCACCCAAAGTTACAGGAATGTGCGGCTGTGCGTGTGAATGTGTTGGGTTTTATAGATATTTGGGGTCTGGCCCAGCAGCTCCCAATGTCATGAAAGATGTCTAAGAATAGGGAACACTCTTGAATTCAGAGCTGGTTCTGTCTTTGTGATACGCGCAGGCAAGCTTTCTTCAGGTTCCGAAACGGGTAAGAGAGCACAGTGCCGCAGCCCCCCAGTCGCTCTACCAGCACTCGTGCATGACACCGCCTACCTTATTGGGGATTGTAAAGGCATTGTATGAAGGCTGCTAAAGAAAGTGTGTTTATTCATCAGGGGTCAACATTACACCCAATAAAACAAGAGTCTGAAGACAGGTTGTATGATGAAAGATGTGCTCGACTGCTGTCTCAACTACTGCACCGAAAAATGCAACAATCTTGTCTCCAAGCTCTGAAGCCAGGGTGCAGATAGTGCGCAGCAAGTCGGCATCCTCCTTGTGGCTCCAGCTGGGCCATATCCTTGGGAGCAAGCTTTCCACACTGACTAGACCGAATGCACCGGCCTGCTCTCCCATTTACTGAGTAGGTTCAGGGAAAAGTCGACTGCACATAGAAGCTGTTCCTCCTTCACTCGTGCTACTTGCTACTGGTGGTGCTGTTGGTGGTGTTGGCGCCGCTGCTGCGCTGGTGGGCGGTGGGAATCGTCGTCGTCGTAGTAGTAGTAGCAGCAGCAGTAGCAGTAGCAGTAGAAGAAGAAGTAGTCGTAGTGGTGATAGTAGTAGCGGTAGTAGAAGTAGTAGAAGAAGTAGTAGTAGTAGTAGTAGTAGTAGTAGTAGTAGTAGTAGTAGTGGTAGTAGTAGTAGTAGTAGTAGTAGTAGCAGTAGCAGTAGCAGTAGCAGTAGTAGTAGTAGTAGTAGTAGTAGTAGTAGTAGTAGTAGTAGTAGTAGTAGTAGTAGTAGTAGTAGTATAGTAGTAGTAGTTTAGTAGTAGTAGTTTAGTAGTAGTAGTAGTAGTAGTAGTAGTAGTAGTAGTAGTAGTAGTAGTAGTAGTAGTAGTAGCAGTAGCAGTAGCAGTAGCAGCAGCAGCAGCAGCAGCAGCAGCAGCAGCAGCAGCAGCAGCAGCAGCAGCAGCAGCAGCAGCAGCAGCAGCCGCAGCCAGCAGCGGCAGTGGTAGTAGGGGTGGTTGTGTTGGTGCTCCTGTATGGTAGAGACAGCAAAAAGCAGCACTGAGCTGAACCATGAGCAGACTTGCTAGAACAAGTTTTGGCATTGATTGTAAAATGCACGCGCTGGCAGTGATGGAAAAAGGCACCGGCGAGGTCAATCCTGAGTCCTGAAACCACCCTAAAGCCTAAACCCTTATCCCAAACTCTAAACTCCAAGCCCTAAACTTTCATGCTGACAGGCATCTCCACCTGGAGCAGCGAAGTGATGTACATCTCCTGATCCAGCTGTGCGTTGCTCTAAACCGAGGTCCTGTTTCAGTCCTTCTTTATCTCCGCCTAAGATTGAGGGAAGCCCTCAACATTGAACCTATGGCCAGGGTCCTGGCGCGAATTTCGTCCGAAACCCGGCAACCCGAAGGAAGAATGCTACTTCAACTACTCGGGCTCTTGTGCCCCAAGAAATTTCCATGCGCAACGCTTCGAAGCTTCGTTTTCTAACAGGTCTTGATTGGAGTCTCTAAGGGGTTTGTGTTTAGACGCTTTCGATTCAAGGCTCGGGGTGCGCGGGCTGAATTCTTAGGATTTAGCCGTCTTACCTGAAGCATGCTGGTAGGGATCCAGCCATTGCATGGTTGTGCAAGCCTTTACTTTACCTCTTTCAGTTAAAGCCCTCAGCCGCTTGCAGCCTGCAGACCCTGCGTCGGGATCACATGATCGGTTCGCTCCGCAAGCAGTGTTGAGCGGTTACGCGACGATTGTGCTGCAGCAGCTCCTCGACTGCAAGACCCAGAATGCTCAAGTGCAGCAGCACCCCCATACACTCCACCGTGACCCCGAACCATAAGCCCCTGAACGTGTCAGCCCTGCTGTCCTTGTGAAGGTTCACCTTGATGCTCTCTGGGATGCCGTTTATCAACGTTACCTGCTACACAGTCGTTGCATACGGTTTCATAGTGGTATTACAAAGGCTTTTAGAGTTTGCCAGGGTTCTAGAAGGCATATGCGTTTCACGGAGGTTTTGCCGGATGTGTGTGTGTGTGTGTGTGTGTGTTGGGGGGGTAAGGTCAATATTGGGCCCTCATAATCAGTACAACAAAAGGATGCAAACCAGTTCTAACATTTCCGGGTTCTGGGGGATGGTGGTGGTAGTAGTCGTCGTAGTAGTGGTAGTGGTAGTGGTAGTGGTAGTGGTAGTGGTAGTGGTAGTGGTAGTGGTAGTAGTAGTAGTAGTAGTAGTAGTAGTAGTAGTAGTAGTAGCAGTGGTAGCAGTGGTAATAGTCGTCGTAGTAGTAGTGGTCGTCGTAGTAGCAGCAGTAGTAGTAGTAGCAGAAGTAGCAGTAGCAGTAGCAGTAGTAGTCGTAGCAGTAGTAGTAGCAGTAGCAGTAGCGGTAGCGGTAGCAGTAGCAGTAGCAGTAGCGGTAGAGGTAGCAGTAGCAGTAGCAGTGGCAGTAGCAGTAGGAAGTAGTAAGTAGTAAGTAGAAGGCAGTAGTAGTAGTAGTAGTAGTAGTAGTAGTAGTAGTAGTAGTAGTAGTAGTAGTAGTAGTAGTAGTAGTAGCAGTAGTAGCAGTAGTAGTAGTAGTAGTAGTAGTAGTAGTAGTAGTAGTAGTAGTAGTAGTAGTAGTAGTAGTGCAGTAGTAGTGGTTTACTCGCAGTAGTAGTGGTTTACCTTCAAATGCTGCATGCCCACATTCTTCATATAAAGGGTCTGAACAGCTTGAACCAGGGTGTTTTGTCAAGACACTTCGGCTACCGGGGGATGTGCCTACTAACCCAACCGGAAAGCCTCAAACTCGCAACCTCGGAATCAGAAATTCTCAACGCCAAACACAAAGCCCCGAATCCACTGAACCCTCAAGAATGCGTGAACCACAGCCTGTACAGCCTCATTGAAGCAACCCTCACACGCGGACACCTTGACGGATGCCACAAGAAAGAAGAGGCCTTCCAAAAGCATTGCCTAACCCCCCCCCCCTCCCATACAGACTTCTGATAGGATGCATCATTGGGCTCCATTTTCTAGATCCCGCAAACCCGAGGACCCCGGAAAACCTCCAAGGGACCGAAGTTGCCTCGTCTTCCCGGAGGCGCGTCCTTGCCCGCTTGTCTTTGTCAAGGGCGCTCTTCACCTTTGGAATGCTCTTGCCTCTGCTACTACGACCACGACTATGACCACCACAACTAGCACTAGAATTACCAGTGCCGCTGCTGCTCTCGCTACCGCTGCCACGCGTTCTCGCCGGTTCTGCAAGGTGTCAATAAACTGTTTGGTCCAGTGATTTTTTTCTGTGGACGTGTTTACTAGCCACAAACCCTTAACAGAAACATCATCGCCAGTCATCCCAGAGGTTTATCGTTTATCCAAGCATATTGTTATCAAGAGGGAAAAAACCCTTTCAAAGCAACACCTTGTTCCTTCAGCCTGGGGCTACAGAGTGTGTACTCATGCGATCGCGCACACGAAAAACAGCACTTCCGAATGCGTATTCTTCTGAAACCGAGTATAGGGGAGGTGCTTCTTACAATGGGCTGCTGGAGCATATTACAATACAGTTACAAATACAGGAGTTGCGTCGGGATAGCGTTACGAAATATGTCAGACCCTTTTGCAAGCCCGTAACGCTGTACCAAAACAAGATCGTGGCATTTAGAAAAGGGTTTCGGGGTACGTTATACCACAATTATAATAAGGACCCCCCCCCCCCCCCCCCAAATAGTATAGATTTAAGCCCCTGTATTATTTCCCCTCTCTTCCTCTGCTCTGGTCACCGGCAGTCCCCAGTCCCCCAGGATTACACTTCTTGCGAAAGCTGTTGATGGGAGGCCAAAAGGGGGTTTAAGATTCTTGGGGTAGGGATTCCTTAATATGAACCCTACTATAGGAACCCTCATCCCTACTAAACCCCCATAGGCTAAAACCCCGTTTGGCCTCCTATGAGCTCTCAGGGCCACAAGGCCCTGAGACCCCCCCGGCAGCCATCGTACGACAGAACCCCAGACCCCAAGCCCTGCTCCTACTATCGGGGCCTTAATATCTAGAATAAGGTTTGGGAGCAAAAAAACGATAATTGTAATAAGGAGACCCCCAAAATAGTAGCGGTAATTCTCTAGGCCCGTATACTTTGCATTATAAACAGAAACCAGACTGAAACGCAAACTCCTAACGAATGGCCAGAAATCAGAAGAAAGCCTTAGCATGATGCCAATTCACAGCAGTATGCTTGGTGTTCCGGATGCGAATCCTGTGATGCATAAAGCCTCAACCCTAAGCCTATACTGAACTTGGGACCCTTGCACAAACTGTAAGTTTAGCTGTTTCTTCGGGATTCAAGTAGCCAAAATATGCGAATTATTTCGAAGCACCCCTGAGAAAACACTGTTTGAGTTTAAGGTTTCCCAGTCGCTCTCTCGAAGAGCTCCAGCGACAGATTCCGCTCCGTGAAGAATCTGAGAGGCGTAGTAGTAGCAGTAGTAGTAGTAGTAGTAGTAGTAGCAGTAGCAGTAGCAGTAGTAGTAAGGGTTGTAAGGGGCCTTGGTCGCTTCTAGTCAGACTTTTGCAGGGGCCTTAATCATTAGAAGTGGATTTTGGGCTCCTTTATAGTACACCTATAATGAGGAACCCCCAAGGAATCATATTGGCTTTTACTTAGGCTTCTATATTATTCTTTCCAGTTCCTGAATAGGTTCATCTATTATAGTAAAGCACCCATAAGGCTGTCGTATTGTTGAGTCCTCTAAACTTCGAGACACCCCTGTACCTTAAGCCCACAGAACGTTAAGCATGAGGCTTCAGGGACAAGAGAGTAACAGTAAAATGTTGCCCGGGGTTTGGGGCTTGGGAATTCGGGCTTTGGGCGTCCAGGGCTTGGCATTTTCGGTTTGGCCGAGTCTGAGTGTCAGCAAACGTCAGCTCAAAACTTCCTTCGGAACATCAACCACAAGCCTCTCAAGCGCCGTTCGAAGAACATATCAAAAGATCGGCTCATGACCGCTACGACGATTGCGGGGGTGACTATGACCCATGTACCCATACCAGTATCAGCAGGTGCGAGAAGAACTCGAAAACGAACGAATCCACCACAATGCTCATCTTGAGGATTCAGGGTTTCGGGGCCTTCAGTCTACAGTAGGGGTTCTGTTTTTTGTTTGCAGAGTCGGGGATTAGGGTGTAGGGTTTTAGCGTTAACGGCTTTTCTGTTCTACAAACATTGCTTCAGGGTGTAGTCTGTTGCTGCTATCAGGGTTTCACCACCATCACCTGCCACTCCCCAGAGAGCCCAATACCCCTGAATTAGGGAATATAGCTTAAACCATAATATGAATCCCCTTATAATTTAAGGTATATTCTTTAATTAAGGGGTATTGGGCTCTCTGGGTCTAGCTGCCAAGTCACACCTCCAGCTTGCTCTCCTGCGGCTGGCGCCCAGAGTACCCGCCCTAAACCCCAAACTCTACTTGGAGGATCATGGGGCTTAGTAACTGAGGTTATAAGTACCCTAATTGGAGTTACAAGTATAGTTGCCTTATTTATAACCCTAGTTACTAAGTCCCATGATCCTCCAAGTAATTCAGGAACCTGATCAAAGCCCCTGCCCAAACCCCGGGGAGGATCTCGAAAGTAGATCCCCAAATTTGGGGCCCTATGCTACTAAGGGTACTTTATAGGAACCCCCATTAAGGGATCTACTTTTTGTATCCTCCCGAAAATCTGGGTGACTTTAATGGGGTTGTGGATATGTATGCTTTTCTTATCTTGGGATTCAAACTGATAGGGTTTAGTATCTTCCAAACACCTTTTCGGAGCCCTGTCCTTGAGTTTATGTAGGGGCTTTTAAGATTTTGTCTTCAATACGGGTTCTATGTTTTGGAGTCTTGCAGGGGTTCTGTCGGGTTGTGGGGCATTCAGATTAGAACTTCGGGAGGGTTTGCCGGCGCAACTCATCCTTCCCAGCAGAGTACGCTGGCGTTGCAAGAACAACTTTGAACAGGCGCTGATTCACAGTACGGCCGCTATGTTATTTGAGGATTCCTTGTGCTCTTCTTTTCCGTCAACCTTGAGCTCTGAAGCCAACACCTGACCTGAATCCTGTTACTTCCCACCTACCGGAGACCTCGCCTGGAGACATTCGATGTTCTGGCTGTATATGTTAGCGATTTCTTAGGGTTGAGCGTTTGCATTCTGGCTCTAGTGGTGCGGGCATATGTGCATCGGCACGCAAGCCTCCCAAAACCGTACAAAAAGCATGAGGAGGTCGTACTACTACTACTACTACTACTACTACTACTACTACTATTACTACTACTACTACTACTACTACTACTACTACTACTATTACTACTACTACTACTACTACTACTACTACTACTACTACTACTACTACTACTACTACTACTACTACTACTACTACTACTACTACTACTAGTACTACTACTACTCTATTACTATATCCATACAACAGCATAATAATATATTAAGATAATATAGACCAACATACTAACATGATATAGATTAATATATTCATACCACATTACACAGTTCAGTACTGTACTAATTACTAATATACTCATATGACCCAATGGAGCCCTACCGCCCGGTGCCGCCTGAAGCAGTTGTGCACGGCGCACGGTGCGCATGGAGGTGATCGTGGTACCTCATGGGACGACTTACAGGGCCCTTCTTCCTTGGTTGGATGCAGCACGGAGACACAGAAACATGTAGTAATACCACTCCTACTAATAATAATGTTAATAATAACGGCAGTAGCAATAATTGTAATACGAGCACTCATGCTAATGATAATGATGAACACATAAATAAAAACAAACACACACACACACACATATATATATATATATATACACACATATACATGTGTACGTATATCCCTACATGTATAAATATGTATCTACCTAGCTATCTACATAAGTTGTATTATACAGTACTATAAAACAGTATTATATGTGTAATTGTAATACATATTGTCATTCTACATTATATATAATTGCAGTGCTGTCCGGTCATGACTCGGCCAACCCTCGCCCAGGTGCCAATCGAGCCGATGAAGGACGAGAAGCACCTGTCAGTGCCCCCAGAAATCTCCCCCAGAGGGGCCGTAATAGTTAGAATAGGGTTGGGGCCCATTATACTAACATTATAATAAGGAACTCCAGAGCTTCAGAATGCTTCGGGAACAGGGCTTGCAGCTTCTTTGACTTCATGACTCACTGCTGCTGAGCGCAGACTTACTGCCGTGAATGTAACAGTGTCACACTTGTCGCAGCTTCAGATCCGAAACCAAGCCTTACTGGAAAGCTTCTGGACAGCATGAAATATAGTTGCAAGTAAGTCATCTTCGAGGTATGTATAGGCATAGTTGCCCTCAGTCCTGTTGTCTAAGTAGTAAGGCACTAAAAGACCCTGTCAACAGAAACTACCAAGAAATAGGTGAAGCCCTACCAACGCCGCATGAAGCCTCCTGAAAACTCCCAGGGTCTAGGGTTTAGGGTGCCTTGGATCCTCTTCAAGTGGGAGTTTCCGAAAATGCGGGACATTGATATAGTACCCTGAATAGTAGGATCCTTATTATAAGGACCCCAAATAAGGTAGCCCTAATTTTCGGAAACTCCCAAGTGAACCTCTAGGATCCAAAGGAACCTAGGAATAGCATGGGCTCCTTTTTTGGTTTTGTGGCTCCCTTGATCCTCTTTGAGTGTACCTCTGCATCCAAGACGCGCCATGGCGAGAAGGATCACCCAAATCGCGTAGAACCTGCGCTCTTTGTGGTCACAGGGCTTTTATGAAGGTTCTATCATTGTCGCAGTTTTTGGTTTTAGGGCTTATCGGTCTGTATGGGGTTCCACAGGGCCTTATGGGGTGCTATAGGATTGTATCAGGGCCCGGTAGGATAAGCATTCGCGGTGTCGAGATTAAGAGATTAAGTGCAGCCCGCAAGTCCTGGACTGCCCCAAGGAAACCCCAAATCCTAAACCCTACTTGGAGGATCATGGGGCTTAGTAACTAAGGTTATAAGTACCCTAATTGGAGTTATAAGTATAGTTACCTTATTTATAACCCTAGTTACTAAGTCCATGATCCTCCAAGTAATGGAATGCTTGTTGTGAGAATACGCCAAGAAAGACTGAGACTCTGTGCTCAAAGCGTCCGCCTCCCGTGAGGTCAACTAAGGTTTCGGTTTTCGGGTTCGTGCAACATAGGGGCCTTGGTAACTACATCAGGGTTTGGGGGTATATTGTACTATAAATATAATAAAGAACCCCTAACTAGATTAGGGTTTGGTGGATATAACACTATAAGGAACCCTAGGGAAGAAGACTGCTCATTATTTAGGCTCCAATCGGCAATGTCATGCTACCCTGACCTCCACTCCGCGACGGCTGCGAGCCTTCACTGCAGTCTGGGCCGACACCCGGATTTAGCGCTTGGATATGTGAAAATACCTTTGATGGAACCCGCATGATCCTGATGAAAATACCGTTGATGGAACCCACATGATCCTGAATCATGGATACACCGTGTAGCTGTGCCAGGCGACAATGTCAAACATGATACCCAGGATGCCAAACAGCTAGTAACTTCGACAATCACATCGAATGGCACTAATACTAATGGACAGGATTAAGACATTTGTATGGTCGCAGCGCCGATAATGGTGGTGTTGCTGACGATGCTTATCATGAAAAGCAAGAAGGCTCATCCACAAACCAAACATCCGAACCCCAAGCTGTTTGAAAACCTCACAGTAATCCCCGCACTGACCTAAGAAAAGCCTGTCACAGTGAGGTTTCAACACCCCTGAAACACCTGTTTGACCAGAGCCTCTCCCACGCATTGTCCGGGGCGATAGAGTTGGTAGCTGGCGTAAACCTCCGATGTAACCGCATCGGAATAATAGTACATAAGTACGACGCATGTTCCGAGATATTGTTACCCAGATATCCTACATATTCACATATACATACACACACACACGCATATATATATATATATATATATATATATTAATTACACACACAAAACCCTTGTGTAAGATACATAAGTGTGGCAAGAGACCACAACATGCAAAGGGCCACACACTGACTTTCTCGCTCCCTTCGTCCCTGCCTCACTGTCTCTCGCTCTCGCTCGGCCCTGAATTTTTGTGCAGGTACACGATAGATAAATAGACAGATAGGTAGAGAATGTATAAGCAGGGAGATAGAGCGAGGCAGGGAGAAGAGAGAGAGAGAGAGAGAAAGAGCGAGAGCGAGGTACAAACAAACAAAGAGATTCAGATGGATACATATGCCACCTCACGCATGCACGTGGCTGTCTGCCAACAGTTGGCATTTTTCTTGAACCCATCGCGAAACACAAACTCGCGATGTAGCTGGTAATTTGGTGGCTTCGCCACAACATCAAACACCAGGTTCGCCCGTATACCCATTTAATTTTCAACCAAGAGACCTAGATACAAAGCGAAGAAGCTAGGTAATGCATCCCAGCTTCTGCGTCAGCGACCAGTGGAGCGCTGCAATGTAGGCTTCGCCGACGTTGTCCTTTCGAAGTCAGGGCTAAAGCATACTCACTCGGTACAAAAAGTTCAATGCGCCAAATAGACTGTGGAATACTACTTCTACGGGGGTAGGGGGTCTTAATGCCCATGATAAGAACTATTTAAGGAAGTATAGTCCCCTACCCCCCTAAGGGTCCCTATGAACTTAATAATCGGTCCAGCGAGTTTTTCGTCGGCCATTCTTTGTCACATTCCACAAACAACAAAGCGACCTCAGTCGGTGGCCCCATTTACCAGGCCTTGGATAAGCAGACGGATATAGAAGCCTCGACCATTGAACGAGGCTTCTGGTGTTGGTATATTTACATATCTATTTACCTCTCTCTGTATAAACATATATATATATATAAATATTATGTATACGCATATGTGTGTATATGTACCATAAACTGTATTGTGTCAGAGCCCCCTAGCACACACTGTCCACATTGCTTCAGGCTCGTGGTAGCCACATGAAAGAACGAGAAGTTCAGATTTTGTGCCCGAAGTCTGCGTCTGGAACCTCTGCGACTGCGTCTTTTGGGACAGCTTGGACACCCCTTTCGGATCTGGCGCTGAGTAGGACTTTGCTAACCCTAAACCCTAAACCCTAACCGTGTTGGCTTGTTTTTGAGGGCCTTGGTGCCATAAACTTAAGATCCCTTGAAGGGCCATCGTTGTGCAACCTCACCGGGAGTCTGCGTTGAAGATGGTGTGAGTCTTACTAGCAGTTGGGAGTTTCCGAAAATAGGTGACCCTAATATAGTACCTTAAATAGTAGGATCCTTGTTATATGGACCCCAAAATGAGGTAGCCCTAATTTTCGGAAATTCTAAACCCCTATAGAGCCCTTTAAAGGAACCCTTATGATACCCTTACAGTAACCCAACCTTAAAGGTTACCCACCCGACTACTGGGTTTCGGGATTCCTGGGTTCTGGGTTTCGGGCTCTGCGGGGGTTCAGGCTATGCCGCGAGGATGAGGCTGAATGCCTTAATCCTTAACCTGACGTACCCGACGCTGTCTTGGTCTTCTTAGAAAGTCTAGCATATACACATATATCTGTATATGCATATGCGTTACGCGTGTTTACATTTGTATAAAGTTACAAAAATGACTATAAAGACACATGAATATACATATGACTGTGCATATGAAGATACAGATAAATAAACAAATAAAAACCTACATATTTACGTTTTTAGATTTTATAACACACATAGATAGATAGATATATATATATATATACACATATTAACATCTTATTTATATGCACATATATCACTAGGGACCCTCCAACACTGGAACAAAGTAGGCTATGATCGTGCAAGGAAGCCAGGAGCCCTACACTAGGTGTCCTGGTTGATCTCGGAGCGATCCAGCCAGCATCCCCGGCCGTTGTCCTTGAGGAACACCCCGATCCCATACCTTGACAATTTTTTGCAAGTATGGTTGCCAATATATTATGTATTGTGATGCACACTCATGATTATTTTAATTACTTGTGTCTCTCTGTCTCCGGTGTCTTTGATGTATCTGATAAATGATTCGGTATTTTGGGTGCTATTGTGAAGCTCGGCCTTTCGTAACGCATGTGGGTGGTTGTCAAAATTAAGGCCCCTTTTTGGGCACCCTAAATAATAGGTGCCGTACTATAATAAGGACCCAAAAAGGGACCCTAATATGGACAACCACCCATGTCTGAGTGCATGCCACCTTGGGAGGGTGCTGTTGAAGATCAGAGCTAAGATGCGATGGCAACTGAAGTTGGACAGACACGAACAGAAATATCTGAGTGCAATGAGCTCGGCTAGAGCGAAACCATGTAGGTCGTTTAAGCCAGTAGGTACCAACATCACCATAGCCATTGCAAGCATAGCTTCGAGAATATCAGTAGCGGCAATCAAAACAGCTAAACAGGACCACACACAAGATCCTGCACAAGCCTCTTTCAGCCGTCAAAAAGCCACTAGTTAACCCGATTCAAAGCTTGCAAACCCCTGTTCTGATGATACATGAAGTCCCCTAAAGGAACCCTAACCCCTTTAAGCCCCAAACCCCAAAACCCGGCATCCCTTACCCTTTATAGATCCCTTACAAGGAACCCTTATAGATCCCTTGAGCCTTAAGCGGAATCCTTAAAGGAAGCCTTCAGCTCATCTTTTGCGAGACCGCTCTCCGCAGGCGAGTGGTGCTGCGAGATGCATCGTGCAACGGGTCCGAGTCTGCAGCTTGGGTTTCGGGTTCACAATTGAACTCAATTGAACTAAGGTTCAGGGTTTATGGGTTTGGGGTTTAAGGGTTTGGGGTTTCGGGTATTTACTATTTACTAGCACAGGATGTGCGGGGGCGTAGATCGGATTCATTGTGGGCAGCATGTCAACAATGAGAAGTCTTCACAATGGCAGCGACAAAACGAATAGCATGCAAACAATAGCCTTGAACACATGAGCTATTTCATCAATGACACCTGTCTACACACAAGTACAAATTGAACCTTGGCAACAGACAAGCTAAGAATACATGTTTGAATGTGCCATGATTGAATAAACCATCAGCACGTGAGGGAACAGAACCAACGTTGAAAAAACCATCATCATCATCATCATCATCTTCATCGACCAGGGCCATCGTCCTTATCATCATCATACCCCCGGGGATTGAAAGTTTAACCATTGGAGTTATATGGGAGTTTCCGAAAATAGGGGACCCTAATATGGGACCCTCATTAGAAGGATCCTTATTATAAGGACCCCAAAACAAGGTACCCCTAATTTTCGGAAACCCCCATATAAGGACTGCAGAACTCCCAGCAGGTTGAAGGCTACCTGCCCGACTAGTAACGGTTTAGGGTTTAGGGTTTAGGTTTAGGGTTTAGGTTTAGGGTTTAGGGTCTTCGGGATTGTAGCAATCCAAAGTTAAGAATTATTTCTAAGTGCCCATGAGAAAGGACAAAGAAGCTGCAGAAGCGAGACTCCTGCAGATGCGTCACGGTCCCTAAGTGAAACATCGAATCTCGACAGATGGGGTCAAAGGTTAGTTCTGCTCCCTTTTTCTATTGCTTAGAGGCCTCCAGGAAGTTTAATGTAGGGGCCTTAGTGACTGGAATAAGGGGTTCCCTTTAAGGGGCCACAAGGGATCTTTTAGGGTACTGTAATGTAGGGGCCTTAGCAATTAGCATAGGGTTTTGGGGTACGTTACACCATTAGGTTAAATAGCTTTGGGGCTTTAGGGACTGTAGGTTCTAGGGTTCTAAAGTTGATTTAGGGTTGAGCGTGCAGGGTTGCAGGGTGCCGGGGTTTAGAGTGTTCAGGCTGAAGGCTCTTTAAGTGCCACGGCAAAAATGCTAATCTAATGCATCAAAAAATTATCTACTGCTCAAGCTGTCGGCGCTTGCGCGCGCAGGGGCGAAGCGGTGTAGTTGGCCCAATCACCCCACGCGGATCCTGTCAAACCGTCCTTTCACAGGGCACGAGGCTTGCAGAACCTGTTGGCAAGGGAATCGGGACAGACACGTGATGCAGTCAGCTTCTACGTAGTTGCACACCGCTGCAACATGTCCCTTTGGACTGGGTCCTGGAAGAACATGCCAATGATAGCCATCATGGCCAGACGTCCGTTGGCAAGCTCTGCTGCGAGCCTCCTGTTCTTGGTCTCGTCGTCACCTGCGGAGAAGAATGGCGGCTTCCAACCGACATCGCCGGCCTTCTTGCTGCCCCAGGCATCCTCGCCCAAGCCGGAGGAGAACTCAACGAAACCGCAATACGCAAAGATCTGAAGCCAGCCTGCAAAGGGCACGACTTTCAAGGCAGCAAGGCCGTTCGGGATGTCTGAGAAGTTGAGGTCCGTAGCACAAATGCCGCCCCACTTTCCGGCGATCTCGGGCGTGATGTAACCCATGGTTGCGAGCATGGCGACGCGCCCGTGCTTGATTTCCACAGCGCGGCGGCGCTTGAAGTTCTCAGCGCTGCCGTCCTTGGTGAACCCGACTGGATCCCAGAATCCGAGAGGTGGCTGCGCGCCGAGCTCCTGCTCGAACGCGCGCAGAGGCGAGGCGGTGTAGTTGGCCCAGTCTCCCCACGCGCTGCCAGTGAGTCCGTCCTTCATGCAACATCACTGATGTAGGTTCTACTTGCATCAACATGTGAACTACATTGCACTCTCAGCATTGGCTGCATGTCGTGAACAATGACGAAGGCATGCTTGGAAAAACACTTCGTCACTTGTCGTAATGAACCCGGCTGTGTGACATAAACAACATGACAAATATCCTGGAAGAACATGCCAATGATGGCCATCATCGCAAGGCGGCCATTGGCAATCTCGGCATTGAGCTTTTTCGTCTTCTCAGCCGGGTCGGAGGAGGTCAGCACCTTGAACCCGAAGTCACCTGCATAGGCGGCCGTGCCCGGCTCCTGCGTCTGCGACACCTCGCAGTAGGCCATGTACAAGAGAATCTGACCCCAACCTGCCTGAGGCACCTTGGAGATTGCAGCCAGACCGTTCGGGATGTCTGCGAATTTGAGTCCTGCGCTTGGGCTCAAGTATCCTGGGAATTTTCCGGTGATCTCGGGCGTGATGTAACCCATGGTTGCAAGCATTGCAATGCGTCCGTGCTTAATTTCGGTGGCACGGCGGCGCTTGAAGTTCTCGACGCTGCCATCCGCTGACAGGCCTGCTGGATCCCAGAAACCCACTGGTGCCTGAACACCAAGTTCGTTCTCGAATGCACGCAGAGGCGAGGCGGTGTAGTTGGCCCAGTCTCCCCACGCGCTGCCAGTGAGTCCGTCCTTCAAAATGCCAAGGGTTCGCGGATATTTTGGCAGGGTCGTGGTTCACGTGCGAAGCAGCTCATGATTGCTTGAATTATGTCAAAGCATGATGTGACAGTACAAAACTACAGTGCCAAGCTGAAACGTCGACTAGAAATGTAGTCAGCTTCTACTTGGCTGCACACAGATGCAACAACATTTTTCTTTGGACTATGTCCTGGAAGAACATGCCAATGATAGCCATCATGGCCAGCCGTCCGTTGGCAAGCTCTGCTGCGAGCCTCCTGTTCTTGGTCTCGTCGTCACCTGCGGAGAAGAATGGCGGCTTCCAACCGACATCGCCGGCCTTCTTGCTGCCCCAGGCATCCTCGCCCAAGCCGGAGGAGAACTCAACGAAACCGCAATACGCAAAGATCTGAAGCCAGCCTGCAAAGGGCACGACCTTCAAGGCAGCAAGGCCGTTCGGGATGTCTGAGAAGTTGAGGTCCGTAGCACAAATGCCGCCCCACTTTCCGGCGATCTCGGGCGTGATGTAACCCATGGTTGCGAGCATGGCGACGCGCCCGTGCTTGATTTCCACAGCGCGGCGGCGCTTGAAGTTCTCAGCGCTGCCGTCCTTGGTGAACCCGACTGGATCCCAGAATCCGAGAGGTGGCTGCGCGCCGAGCTCCTGCTCGAACGCGCGCAGAGGCGAGGCGGTGTAGTTGGCCCAGTCTCCCCACGCGCTGCCAGTGAGTCCGTCCTTCATGCCACATCACTGATGTAGGTTCTACTTGCATCAACATGTGAACTACATTGCACTCTCAGCATTGGCTGCATGTCGTGAACAATGACGAAGGCATGCTTGGAAAAACACTTCGTCACTTGTCGTAATGAACCCGGCTGTGTGACATAAACAACATGACAAATATCCTGGAAGAACATGCCAATGATGGCCATCATCGCAAGGCGGCCATTGGCAATCTCGGCATTGAGCTTTTTCGTCTTCTCAGCCGGGTCGGAGGAGGTCAGCACCTTGAACCCGAAGTCACCTGCATAGGCGGCCGTGCCCGGCTCCTGTGTCTGCGACACCTCGCAGTAGGCCATGTACAAGAGAATCTGACCCCAACCTGCCTGAGGCACCTTGGAGATTGCAGCCAGACCGTTCGGGATGTCTGCGAATTTGAGTCCTGCGCTTGGGCTCAAGTATCCTGGGAATTTTCCGGTGATCTCGGGCGTGATGTAACCCATGGTTGCAAGCATTGCAATGCGTCCGTGTTTAATTTCGGTGGCACGGCGGCGCTTGAAGTTCTCGACGCTGCCATCCGCTGACAGGCCTGCTGGATCCCAGAAACCCACTGGTGCCTGAACACCAAGTTCGTTCTCGAATGCACGCAGAGGCGAGGCGGTGTAGTTGGCCCAGTCTCCCCACGCGCTGCCAGTGAGTCCGTCCTACATATAACATCACTGATGTAGATTCAACTTGCATCAACATCTGAACTACGTTGTACTGTCAGAATTAGCTGCATGTCGTGGCCAACGACGAAGGCATGCTTGCAAACACACTTCCGCACATGTCGTAATGAACCCGGTTGTGTGATATGAACAACATGACAAATATCCTGGAAGAACATGCCAATGATGGCCATCATCGCAAGGCGGCCATTGGCAATCTCG